ATAAATGAGAAGTCAAGTCATCACAAAATTAAAGAAATCAAAAACAAGCAAATAAGAAAGAAACGTTTAATAAATATATTTGTGAAGAATTTCAGAGTAAAATACTAAAATCGATTCTTAAGAGTTCGGCTGAGTGACAACAACCATTGACCAGCTTACCAGGTGCTGTTAAAGCTGTTTTAACCAGGATTTCTAAGTAAACCAGTCGTCGAGCTGTTGGAAAGCGAGTGACAATCAAATTGACTAGTTTGGCCAGCTGACAAGGAGGACAAGCAGCAGCCGCAAGCCCAGTCCTCGAAATAACGAGAGACCGATAGACACAAGCCAGGCCACCAAGCTCGGGAAGAGGACAACAGACGGCAGCAGGTGTGTTCAAAGGGATGGGACTGAATCCTGACGGCCAAAACTCAGAGTAGATATCGGAAGTGCCTAAAAAATAAGGAGTGAGTATATCCATAAGAAGATAAGTCCCAATTGAGGTTATAGAGTTGTACTAATTTCTACTCGTTTTTATATTTGACTCATAGCGACTCTGTTCATAATTGATGGTTTGGTTTTTGCATTAAATTTATCTTCACCCTGCGTCCTAAAAAGCATTTCTCATTGAGGGTGAACTGCGTTTTCTACCTCTTGTAGGTTTTATCAACACTTCTAGTCGAAACTGATACGTTCTGTAACAATCTGGAAAACAAACTATACTAATTGAACAAAATAGGTTAATAGAATATTTTATTTATAATATGGCAATAAATAATAATATAATATAATATCAACATATATGTCTATACTATGAGACCCTGTAGTGATATTATCACTATAATTTTGGCCTTCTGTCTCGCCGTGAAGCTATATAAAGATACCAAGATCTTAATTCGTTTTCCGAGCTAAAATCTATGCACGGGGCAAAACAGAACATTAATAATATCAGAAATTGAAAGTAGATCTTGATATACCATCAGGCCGCGAGTTGTAGAAACACGCACTATGGGATTTTAAGTCATAAAATAAGTAATGGTAGATATTGGAACAATAAAAAATGAAGATAGTGCCAGTAATGGTGCTCAAGAATCAAATGACCAGGGCCAGCTGCCGGTATAACTTAATAAGGATTAGATAAATCCCAAAAGCCTATTTGGAGACCTATTTGAAACGTTATGGAGAAGTGCAAACAGTCATGAGGAGTACAATGTTCAAACAAATAAGAAAAACGGCAATCTGCGATAACTAGAGGTGCCTAATTTCCTAGGGACTGGAGAGCTGTTTGCCAATCCCATTGTACAGAAGTATACCACACACATCAAATCGACCGTTTATGAAGCTTGATGTGGCTTCCGCGCCGAGTGAATGGCCATAGATGTGAATAAATCTGCATTTTAAAATAACCATACTCTACTCAAAGAGTCATAGATATTAAAAAAGCATAATATCTGACCATATAAGTGTACTCTTATAAACATGCTTTCTATTTTT